CTGACAGCACCAGTAGGCTTTACTGGCCATGACTGGCCTCACCCTGTCCTGCCCAGAGCCTGGGGCCCCATGGCAGCCCCCCTTGTCCTAGCGATGCTGCAGCAGGGCTGGCCTCTGGCTCCCCATAGCCCAGCCATGACGAGCCAGGCCCACCTGCAGTCCCATGTCCTGGTCTGGCTTTGGCTGTCCCCCAGCCTCCCTGTTCCCTGGCTTACCCTGCAGCCCTGGGAGAGCCCCCTGCTACTGGCCCCCAGCCCACAGGGAGCAGCCAGCCCTCAGGGAACCTCGACAGTTTTCTTTCTTTTTTTTCCTCCCTCCCTTATTAACTTTTCTCTAAGCAATTAACTTTCCTCTCTAAGCAATTATAATTCAACCTTAGCAAAGCTGCATTTTTTCCTGGGGACTTACTGCTTGCCAAGACTTTGGCAATGAGACCATTACTGAATAAGTGACTGTGGTGATAACTTTCTTTTGTGAAGTGTTTGGTTTTCACCCTTCTTTCATACATGTTTCATCAATGGGGTTACATTTCAAGGGTGTGTCAAAATAAACATTAACCTTATTTCAGAAACTGCAAACCACAGAAAGCAGATATTTATTAAATAAAAGGATGTAATGCCATTTGAGAAATGCTAAGGAAGGTTAAAGAGAGAGTCTGACTTTTACTATGGTTTTAAGCCATGGAAATGCTGCATAAAATAACAGTAACACCTGGGGAGTCAGCCTCACATTACTGATCACTGACAGCAGTATCTCTCTTCGGTGGGTAACAATTGTAGTAGTCAACTTCCAGTGTCAAGGATTTCCCACGGTGACCTCAGTGATGGCAGCGAGATTTGTATCAGATCTGAATGAATTCTACTAACTATGTGGTGCAGCTCAAGAAATCACAGTAAAAAATTTTCAGTGTCCGAAAAGATACTTCAGTTGTGGCTCAATGGACCAAAGCTCTGTGATCTGCAGAGCTAAAAGCAAGCACTAGCATTGTCCAAAACCTCTCAGGCATAGCATGGATATCAGCTTTGAGGAGTGACTGTTGGAGTGGTGTAACATGATGTTTTGTTGCTGCTTGCCAGTCTGGAAAGGCAGCACAAAGAATCACACAATAATTCAGGTTGGCTATCTATGGGCCCCTAAAGGTGCCCGAGGGGTAAAGGAAACACTGGGGGTAAGAACTTGGCTGAGATTTAGGTTGTTTGGCCCTGGTACTGCAGACCTTCACTGCTCACTTTAGACTGTATAATAAATTGGTGTTTGCTTTGATAGCTTGCCAGTATTTGAGTTGCAATTGAGTTGCAACAAGGCATTAGGAAATTATTCATGCTGAATTGCTAGTGCGCATTTGGTTCTATGAACTTTGTGGATCACTGCGTGCCTGCAATGCATCTGTCTGGGAAGCACAGTGCTCTTCCCATGCATAGTTTCCTATCCATCTCATCAGACTGAGTGAGAAGTCTTTCAAGGACCCTTTTAAAAGTGTTCCTACATCCTGCCAACATTTTCTGACTTTCTCAGTCAAGTCCCGTTCTTAACTCCTCTCAGTGCATGTTTCATATATAAAAATAAATATTACATGGCGTATATTATGCTATCTTGGACTGTTTTCCAGCATTCTTTTTAATGTGTGTGTGTCTGATGCATAGTGGAATTGTCTTTAAAGATGAAGTCTGGAGCTCTAGTGACTCAGAGACAGATATTTTTTTTTTTATTTACTGGTTTTATCAGATAGAGTTGGACTGATAATAGCAGATGCTGCAACTGCATCAGCAATGAATGCATCCATCTAGGAATTGATGGAAGCAATGTGGTGTTCATAACAATGAGATCACTGGCCTTCTAAACTTTTATACCGCAGCAGCCTGTTCACCAGTGACCCTTGAGAGCGTGTGATGCTCTGTGGCCTTAACAGGCAGTAAAACTAGGCAGAACAGTTGGGCATTAACTGACTGTCCTTTCTGGACTTTTTAGAAGTCAAGTAAGATGGTTGTAAACTTTCTGTTGCTTTTCCTGAAACATTAAAATATATACTTAGTGCAGATCAAGGAACTCTATGTTCTTGTATGCATGTAAGGCTGACGTGAGGGAGGAATGGAATCAAACGAATTGGTACCAGTGATGGATGAAGTTTGTAGATTTTTAGTTTTGGGGTCTAGGAGGGACTAGGATTTCAGTCATCTGGCTGATAACAGATAAAAGCATTCCAGAGTCTGAAGAGAGCAGAAGGAGGCTTTTGGAACAGAAACTAGCTGACAGCATCTAAAAACATCTTGTTATCAGATTATGTAATAATAGATTTCTTATTTATTATAAACATGCAGCTTTATATTTGCCTATATACACATGCATGCAGTTACTGACATAATGAGGACTGTGCACAGATTTCTGAATGTGGGAGTTGGGCCCCTATTAAAATGTTTAAGACTGTACAGCTTTGGGAGGATTCTTCTGGCTGATGCTCCTTTTGGGGTATACATAAATGGAGTGATACTGAGAAAATTATTGTTCCTGCACTCTGTGGATGCATAAGCCTTACAACAAAGAGTCCCTGCAGATTTTACTCTCTATAGAAAGAATAAAGAATGCTACTTCTCTAGGAGGGATATTGGAATATTTATCAGGTTGGTGTGTGTGTCAGGAAAGGGCTTTCTATCCTAATTGCCCTCCAGTAATCTGACTTTCAAATGCTCTTCCTTTGGATTTTTATCTACATGTTTTTTTCTGCCTTATGCTGACTGAAAGGTCCCTTGTTTCCAGAGTGAGCTAATACTGCTCCTAAATCAGTCAGTTGATAGAGAGGAACAAAACTGCAGAGAAACAGAGCGGTACCATGTTTCATTCTTTTGAGAGTAAGGGAGGAGGGATTACAGGGGGAGGAATTAGGTGCCTGAAAGAAAAACTTGGGAAAATAAGATGCCTTGCTGAAAGCTGAAATTCTATTGACAGGATTACTCCTGGAAAGGCAAATGAGAATGCAGAAGACAAACACTGAGCTCAGTATCTGGAATGGGAGAATGGGAACAGGTTTTGGCAAGGGGTCAGGGCGGTGTTGACTTGGCAGAGAGAAGGTATGTAAAGTGGCTGTAACCTGGGTAGTGCCATGGGGTGAGCAGGGTGAAGGCAGGCAGACTCAGTCTGAACCAGAACACTTGTCCCGAAGGATTTTGCTTGCAGAGGTATGAGAAACAATTGCACAAAACTTTGGTGAAGGAAATTGGATAGCATGGGCCAAGAAGAAAGTGCTTCGCTTCAGAGCAATATAGGTAATAGGCAGGAAGAGTTTTGGGTGGCTTTGCAGCTAGACAGTTGTGGGTAATTTGGTAGCAAATGCATAATTGGTAGGGTGATTGACTGTGTTGCTCTGTCAGCAGCAGGGAATTATTCCTTAAAAGCGGGGAGAGAAAGTGAGAAACAAGACCATAACTCAGGGACATACGGTCAGGCAGAGAACATGTGTAGAAAATTATAAAAACTGTTTAAGTGACAAGTGAGGGTTAACCCATGCATCTTGTCTGAGGCGGATTCACTAGATAATTTATCAGGCTAGCTCCTATTTCTAGCAGAGACCTGGATGTCTTATGTAAAAGTGGTTATCACCTAACTGAAGTGAAAATTATGTTCTTAAAGTGAGGAGCTTGTGCCTTCTCTGTAGGGCTTGGAAAGTGTACTGGGTGGGTGGAAAGTGTGAGCCAGGCAGGGTTAATATCCCTGCTATGGTGAAATTCTCAATTTCTAAGATGTTCCTCCTCAGAAAACCCTTATGATGGCATTTACTAGTTGGGTGATGGTCAGGGAGTAGCTTCCATGAGGGACAGCAGGAAGGAATGGAAAACAGAGCAGAAGCAGGGAAACACAGAGGATGGGAATACGGGGTGCTGTGTTCAGGTCAAAAGGAGCTGTGTGAAACTGGAGGATGGACTGGGATCCAGACCCAGGGGTTATGTAGATTTGGTGGGATACTGTGTGTGGAAGGGAATTAGACTACATCTCAATAATTTTTTACCTTTTGTTTCTCTGCCAGCCCGCTCTTCACTACCCCAAATAGCTAAGTGTCCAAATGGTATTTATTACCTTCTCAGCTGTGTAATATATACATAAACTACCCTACAGGTGCACCTGCACAGCAAACCCTGTTTTCACAGCATCACTCCATGTGTAATCCTACATTTGGCTTCTTTTCCCAAACAGAATTAATCCTGTAATCTTGTAATTCTTTTTTTTCTCAGGATATTGCTATTTTCATGCTAAACCCTCATGTTGTGCTGTATGTGATCCTATCAGCTGCAGTAGGCCTTTTTTTTCCTGAAAATATAATATTGCATGTGCTTCTAAGACAATGTGTTTTGGTTCGTTCCATTCCACTTGTACCTTCTTGTCTATATTATCATGCTTATTTCTCTTAATGTCAGTATCCATTCAGACTTTCTCAAGGCAAAATTAATTACTGCTGTAGCTAATTATGGCCCAGACCTTGACCTCATCATCAGACACAGTTAGAAAAAGGAAAAAATGGTCCATGTATGGAATTTCATTGCAGTAAAAAGTGTGTTCCAGGCATTTCCTTACTGTTTCCTTTATTTCTCTTAAGTATCTGGCATGGAGCCAAGGATTTGGGATTAAGTGCCTCTATCGATCTGGTGTGGAATGACAGTGTTCATAGTCCCTGAAGTAATGATTTGCCTTTGTTGCCTAGCTGAGAGGGAGATGTTATCCCCTTTCAAATGGTTATTCAAAGGAGCGGAGATCCTATGAATAGACAAACAGTAGCACTTTAAGGGATATTATAAAGCTGGATGTGCTGTATGGCTTCAGGAAGCTAATAATCCCAGATATTAGAGGCTTGATGTTTCTGATGTATTATTCTCTGCCACTTTTCATACTAGGAATACAGCCCAGCAAGACAGTCTCTTTTGCAAGAGAATACATGGGAGCTCTCCTTCATTTTCATTGTTCTTTTTCCTGTGTTGCCATTTGTTATGTCTGTGGGTTTTTTTCATTTACAGGGCCGCCGGATGAAACGGCAGATTGATGTCTGGGGGAGCTGGGGTGAATGGGGCAGGTGCAGTCGGAGCTGTGGCGGGGGAGTCAGCTTTCGGCAACGACGCTGCTATTCCCAAAGGTGAGGGCTCACCTCCTTTTCCTTTCTTTAAATGTGCTTTTCTGTTACTGAGCTCCTGTACTTCTGTTCCAATATACACGTAGAACAAAAGCGACCTAGTGTTTGATTCCAGGGGAATAAGTCACCTGAGTTCACTTTGAGATGATCCTCGGCTTCAGTCTTGTCACTGCTGTTTGGAATAGTGCTCTCTTCAACACATCCTTGCTTTGGCTCCGTTGCTAGAGCACAGCAGTTTCTCTGTGCAATCAGATGATTGGTGTGGCAGCAGCAGTTCAACCAGGTCTAGTGTGGCAGGCCAGGGGGTGAGGGAGGAGAATCCAGAGCAGTAGGTTTCTCTCTTGAGAGCCGATGACCGTGCCAAGGTTTTGTCAGGCTTATGATTCCCAGGGAGGTAAATTGCCCCGGAAAAAACAGAAGAGTGGAGTTGGCTCAAGTGGTGTTAACACTGTGCCATCTCATTTGCAGCTGGGTTAGATGCGGTGATGACAATGGCTGGGACAGCACCTGTTGGGAATGATGGACCTGAGAGACCCTGTTGTGGATAAAAACAAAGAAAATGAAAAACAAAAAGCCAGACTCTCAATAATATCCTGAAAAAAACAGCCTCTTTATTTTTAGAGAAATCAGAGGGAGTTTTTTTGGTGGAAGAATCCAGAGTTATGGTGCACCACTTCTTCCCACCCAAAATAAAGAAATGTCTCTTTTGAAGGCTGCCCGTTATGATATACAGCTGTGTGTTATGGCAGACACCTGACAGAATCCCTGGCAGGTCTCTCCATTTTAGGAATGCTAAGATATTAGACATTTGTTGGCTTTTCAGATCAATTTCTTCCGTAACTCTTACTCTCCATAATTCTCAGCTAGAGACATTTGGCTGGAGTGAGGGTGTTGCACACTTTGCATAGGCCATTCCTCCTAGTGGGCCTGGTGTGCACTTAAACAGCGTGATAGGTGATGTGTGTGCATATTCTAAATAGACCAGTACCCTCTTGCTCATAGCATCTGTCAGGACAAAAAGTTCTGCTTCTGTTATTTAGTGAAAACATGACCCTGCAGAGCAATACTGCAAACGTTCATGTTGTGTGTCTCGTTCATGCCAGAATGCAAACTATAGCAGAAAATGGCACTAGAAGATGCCGGTTCCCTCTAGTAGAAAAGAAGCGCATTTTAGTTATTTTGTGGCATCAGGAAACTGTGAGAGGGTAATACTCTTGATGTGAAGGTGACTGGTAATATCTGCCATGAGGTGATTTTTTTTGCATGTGTATTCTCAAAGAACTTCATGCTGGTTTTCTTTCAGGACAGAAGGTGCTTCCAGTTGTGTTGGACCAACTCGAAGCTATCGGTCTTGCAATGTTCAGGTACTTTACTCTGTTTGTGCTCTGGTTTTTGTCTTTGCTTGCCTGTTCCTCCTTTTCCCCAGACAAACACAATTCTTGTTCAGAAGTAATATGTCATTATTAGTTTCTTTTCCTCTGACATCACTGGTGAATGCTGTTTGTCAACAGTACCCCTTCAAAAACATATTGAATTTATGGCCCTGATTTTATATGGGAGCAATAACAAATAACCCCCCATTTTTTTGTTGTACACAATTTCCTCCTCTTCGTAATGGCCCAGCGCAAACATTTTCTCCTCCAAACAGAGCTGTCCAGAAGACTCCCGGGATTTCCGGGCAGAGCAATGTGCAGAGTTCGATGGGACAGAATTCCAAGGAAAGAAATACAAGTGGCTTCCGTATTATGGAGGTAATGACAAACACAACACTCTTAATCCCTGTCTATCGATAGTATGTTCTGAATTTACTATAATGTTTTTGACTGTAGTATCCCAGCAGGGGACTTCCTTAGCTGGAGCAGTAGGCACAGTGCTGACATGGAAAAAATCTTTTTGCCAGCAGCAGAGCACTGCTCTTATGAAGACATTGGATGCATGGGCCAAAAGACATCTCTCTGCAGCACTACATAGTTGTCTCTTGTAACAACCCTTCTTTCAGAAACATTGCTGGGAATGGTTGCAGCCAGGTCCTGAAGTGTTAGAGAAGCAGAAGCTCTGCTGTATTTTTCGATACAGATAAAATAATATTAGCGGGGCACATGAGAAACAAACGCCTGTAATTAATGAGTGCTTCAGGAAATGTGACATCTCTTGCAATTGGCCCATGTTTTCTTGAGGAACCAGTTCAGAAGGCGGGTGTAGGGTTCTCACTTTGTGCTTTGATATGTTATCATTCCCAGGGGTTTAACAAATTATGAGGGATTTCAAGATGGATTTAAGGTTTTGTTTACTGGCTGTTAAGATAACAGCTCCCTTGTGTTCTATACCAGCATTTGTTATTCTAGAAAGCCTTGTATTCCAAGGGAGCATAAGAACAGTCCTACTAAGGCATAACCAAGTACCCACCTGGCTCAACATCCCCCTTCCACCACTGGCCAGCCAAGGTACCCCAGGAGATTGTTGCATACAGTGAGGCTCTACCAGGGTACTTTTCCAGCCCACAGCAGTTTGTGACCCAGGAATTTTTTCAATATCTTTTACTTAATATCAGTTCGCCTCTCTGTTTCTGTTCCTGTGATATAAAACCAGGCTCTTGATGCATTAGCAAGCTATTAGCCATAGTATATAATGTTTGTTTCTTTCTCTCCTACCAGCACCCAATAAGTGTGAGTTAAACTGTATTCCCAAGGGAGAAAACTTCTACTACAGGCACAAGGAAGCAGTGATAGATGGGACTACCTGTGAACCTGGCAAGCGGGACATCTGTGTAGAGGGCGTTTGTCAGGTGAGCCATCTTGTTGCTTCCTGCCTTCACCATTGTGACTGTCAGTCTTTCTATTGCTTCCTTTTGTTCTGCTTGGCCCTTCATAATAACACCAGAAAGGCAGAATAATTCTGTTTCTGAGGTGCTGAAGAACACACGAACAGCCTGTATCTGTCTGTCTCTGAATGTGAAATAGAAGATGCCAACTGTCCTTTCTCTGACAACTCCTTCCCCACCTTTTCCTGACTTCACAGATTCCCTAGATTCAGGCTTTCTCATTAGATCAGTCCAGCATTTGGCCATTTTTCCTTTCTTTCCTCTGTAATTATGGTTTATTCATATCAATGCCCCTGTGCTCTAACAGGCTGTTGGCTGTGATAACATGCTGGAATCTGCCAAGAAGGAGGACAAATGCCTGCAGTGTGGAGGAGATGGCAGCACCTGCTATGGTGTGAAGGGAACTTTTGATGTGGCAAGCCTCCCCAAAGGTACAGCTCATCTGGGTGGTTTGCATAGGTGAGAAGGGGAGAGGTAAACCTAAAGTCAAGCTGCCACAAGAGCTGGTGGGGCTACCTGCTCACACGGTTGTTGTAGGCAGGCTTGGATGTTTGCTGTGGAAATGTCTGTGAATGGCATGTGGTTTGTTAGCTGCTATAGCATCAGAAAAATGTATTGTTGGCCTTACCTTGGGAATCACTTCCTTAGTCTCAGAACAGACTGAAGTACTTGCTGTGCTGCTGATGTCTTTCTCTGCTCGGTCTCCAGCAAGTGCTAGAAATGTACCACATTGAATATATCTATGTATCTCTTTCATAAGACTGTCCCCCATCCAGTGCCGGTGCAAGGCTAGAAGTGGGACTGCATCTTCTGCATTTGGCCAATTTTGAATCATTGCAAGATAATAACTGTACTGTGGTCAAATCTCTCTGTGTTGAGCTGCAATATGATGCTTGCTGAAATCCCTAAGATTTTAAAATCTAAAAAATAGACTTTGTCCTGCCCCTTGTGCTTACTTTGCTGAGGTGTAGTTGGAACTTTTTAGACCTGGACTGACCTGTGGATAGTTTTGGGTGAAGCTGTTCAGAATGCAGATAAAGTGACAGCTGGAATACTTCATTATCATAAAGATTATCCGGTTCTTCAGGGACCAGTGAAACCATGAGTGTCTTTGGTACAGAAGAGTGACTCTGTGGCATCCACAGGCGGATACTGAATAATCATCTCTTTTTTTTTTTTTTCTAGGTTACAATCAGATCTTCATCATCCCCGTGGGAGCCACCAGCATCCTAATTAAGGAAGTTATGCCCAGCAGGAATTTTCTGGGTAAGCCTGATGTCAGAACCTGTGTTTCAGTCCATTTATTTATTCATTCCAGACATTGCATTGAAATTTGGGTTTCGGATACACCAGGCTTTGGGATGTTTACCTCGAGGGCTTGATATGGCAGAGGGCATTACAAGGGGGGCAGTATTGTTGGAGGATGATGGTCCTATTTTTTTGCTATGCCTACAGTGTAGTGTTGAGTAGAAACCCTTTTGAGTTCATACAGTCCTCTTTCAATGTGTGAATTTTTGCTGCGTTGTTTGATGCTGCAATATTAGATTGTTGCCACACTTAAAGGGTAGCAATGCTGATGTAGAGGAGCTGGGGTTGCAGTAGTGGAGCTGAGAGCTCTGTGGATTGCCGGTACTCTGAAAGTCTAGAGTAGGCTCTGTCTTGTGGTACCTGGAGCCAGGTGTCGGGTTAGAGGTGTGTTAATTTACTGCCTTTTCTTCTCTGGCACGTGGATTTGTCCAGCTGTCAAGAACGTGCGAGGGGAGTATTATCTGAATGGGCATTGGACCATTGATTTCAGCCGGGCGCTGCACGTGGCTAGCACAGTTATGCACTATGACCGTGGCTCGGAGGGTGATCTGGCCCCAGAGCTCCTCCATGCCCGCGGTCCCACCACAGAACCCCTCATCATTGAGGTAAGTGCCTGTGCCTGCCCCTCGCTGATGCTCTTGCTCTCTTGCTTTGGGCAGTGGGAGTGCATTGGTGGGGACCACATGGAGAAGACTGGAGAAGTGACAGGGCCCTAGGGGGGCTCTGGTTCTGTTGCCCAGAAAGGAGCAGGGCAAGGCTTGATGTTGGCTTCTTGCCTATTCCTTCTGGCCCTGATTTTAAGGAAGGGAAGAGTCAGCACCGAATGGTGTTGGGGCCAGGACAGGCTCCAGGACACTGCTTGTTATGGTGTGCTGCAGGCCAGGCAGGGGTACTGACTGTTACAGGAGCAGCTGGACCTTCTGCTTCTGAGAGGGATGCATGCACCCTTCTCTGAAAAATAATGCTCTCTAGAGTGCTATAGAAAGCAAGAAGAAAATGCAGCGTAGAGAATTAGTGCTTCTTGAGTGGGAGGGAAGCAGGTCAGCTTGAACCCCAGACGTGGTGGGGAAATGCTGTGAAGGTGAAAAGTGCTGCTGTTATTTCCCTGACTTCATCCCATGCTCTCACAGCTCATCAGCCAGGAGCCAAACCCAGGGGTACAGTACGAGTACTACCTGCCTGTGCAAGGACAGGCCCCGGGCTACAGCTGGAGCTACGGTTCCTGGAGTGAGTGCAGCTCCGAGTGTGGAGGAGGTAAGGGGACAGACAGGTCTCTGGCAGCTGGTGTGGGGTTTATATCCACACCATGAAGACAGTGTGACTGTGTGCTGCCCTCTGCAGCTGCTTCCCAGCAGTCTTCTGCTGGAAGACAGCACAGGTATCTGCAGGGGGCAGCTAAGGTTTTGCCAGGGGAGGGTGACATGTGGACTCACAACAGGACTATGTCCCCTGTCTTATTTTCCATGCCCTAGTCCTCAGACTTGTTACTAGGATCTGTTAAGAACCTTCATAAATAGCCTTTGTTTTCTTTTGTTTTGCTTCAGTTCTTCCTGTCCTTTTCAGGCCTTTTCAACCCCTTGAGAGGTTCTCTCCAAACTGACTTGGCCTACATAACTGAATCACATCATTCTTCTCTGCCGTAGCCTGGAAGAATCCCTCTCTTCAGGCGGGTGGTCAGATCTCCTGGAGTGTAACATCATGTTCAGTTTACAGATTCTGCCGTGGGCAAAGTTATGGATTTTAAGCTAAAAATCAAAACAAAAAAAAACCCCAATCAAACAAAAAAACCTCTCCAGCTGACTAATGTATACAGTTCCTATCAGCCTGTTCTGGTCTTCTGTGCTGATGGCTATTTCAATAGCTTTTGCCATATTGTGGTTGTAGGAGCTGATACTGTCTTTGGTGGGCACTCTTATCCTGTAGGAACCAAAAAGAGTTGCAGATTGTTCTCCCGCATCCATTCTTCACAAGACTGACCTTCTGGGTCTAACAGGAGGCCCCTGGCTCTGCTGCTGTACATTGCACACACTACACTGAGTTTCTTGATAAGCGATAGAGGGATATGGCACTTCCCTTGTGAGTCACAATGCTCAACAGGGAAATGCCCTTCAGCTACACAGAACTATTCTGGACTCCTATATGGTGGGAAGGCATCATTCATACTGTCATTATTGACAGGCCAAGAGCTGCACCTGACTCTTTTCCAGGTTGGCTGGGGCGGGTGTGGATTCTGCACTGCTTTAGAAACTTGTTTTGCCAACAGCAGTGCATTGCAAACCTAGTCCTGGGTGACTTGCATTGATCAGGATACTCTCTTGCTTCTCCTTTAGGCTTCCAATCACGCCTGGTGTTTTGTACCATAGACAACGAAATTTATCCAGACTATATGTGCAGGAATAAACCACAACCAGACAACAACCGGACGTGTGGCCGTCAGACTTGTCCCCAGACAAAACGGTAGGATTTCCTTTCCTCTTCTGGAGTGCTTCTGAAACCAAGAAAAAGAATGACCATCTCGCTTCTCCTCTCCATGGTTCTCTCCAAGGAAATGTTTCAGTTGTCAGAGAAAGCCTAAGGCAAAGGAAGGTGATGATAACACTGTGATGAGCATTTCTACGTGCACAAGGAAAGGGCTTAATACATCCTCTGTTCATTTTATAGATCAATTAGATTTGCTTTCTAGAGTATGATTATGGAAGATAGTCCACATGCAGGACAGAGGAAACAGATTCTCTGGTTTTTGTTCTCTTCAACTGGAGCTTGCAAAAAGAGAGGAGTAGGTCAGAGGGTGTCATTTTAATGTAATATTTGCATTCCCAGTGCCCTTGCTTTTAGAAAGGGATGAATCCTGGGATCTTTTCATTCCACAGCGTTTTCAAATCCTTTTACCCAGCCATTTCCACCTTGTCCCTTACTAGCATAGCTTTGCAGTTGGCTTCACTTGGCTTTTACATGAACATTAAGAACTGTGGACAGAGCCTTAACTGTGTATCTGGTGGGTGCAGCAGTGGCCTGTGAGAGTACTGTTGTGGGTGAGAGGGCACTTGGAAACCTAGGAGCGTTTCTGAATACATGGTAGCCTGTAGCTACTTGTTTTAAGTTCTTTAAATCCTTTGTTCTGTGTATGAAGGACTTCTTACATCTATCTGCCACAAGCCTGGAGCCGCAGTGGAGCATGGAGCTCTCAGATGAAGAGGTAACGAGGAGAAGGAGGTTACAGAAAGTACAGGAAGGCACCTGCTCCCTTCTGCTCTCCACCTAGTTGCGCGCTGAAGTCTGTGGGGACATGGGGGCTTTCTTCTTTGGTGCTGGTGGTAGCCATGGGTGGTGTTTGCTTTTGATTCTCGCCTATGGAAATGATGGTGGAGGGTGCTGGCTGGCAGCTCTGCTTAGGTGGGTGTGCCTGCCTCTGGTAACTTGGTTCTTATCAGACTGAGAAGGGGGCAGTTTCTTCATAGCTTTTGGCTGCTTATCCTGATAATTTTAGTTTTCTTCTCTGCAATCAAGGTAGAGAGGTGAAGGGACATTCTGGAAGATTGTTGTTTGGTTTATTGAGATAAATAAAAGAACAGAAAGGAAAAGAGAGCATGATGGATAGGACAATTGAAACATTGGCCAGGGTGCCAGTGTGCCATAGCAAAAGCCTCAGAATTTCTCAAAAGATCTCCTGTATTTGGCATGAGCCCTATAGCAGGCAGAAAAGTGAATATATACTGTGATGAGTGTAAGGATGTGACAGATACAATACTTACAATGTACACTGAGGTATGCAAAATAAAATAGTTGCCCCTCAGCAAACTGCTAATAGCTTAGGCCTTGCAATGCTTTGCCCTCTGATGAGGGCCCAAGCTTTATGGTTGACCTTCTCTTACAAAGGAAGTGAAACAAGTGTCAAACAAGATGTCTTGACTTGCGAATGACAAAAGCCTATCCAGTTGATAAGGCCTGTCTAAAACCGTGCATTTGCTTTACGAGAGGCAGAAAACAGTTTGGGGGTGTTGGTTTTTTTTAGCCCTGCTGGAAGTTCTGAAAAATCTTGATCAATGACTTTTTTTTTTTTTTTTGAGCCCTGCAGCCACACCACTCAAAAGTAACTTCTGCTCGCTGTAGCTGTTCCCTTTCCAAAGGGAACATCTTATTTTATAGCAAAGACTGTTCAGTTTTGGGCTGATATGTGCATCTTTAGCAGTAAAGAAGAGTATCTTAAAGAGATGAACATGTTGGGAATGAAATATCATGTTGTCCCTGAAGCCAGGCCATGTAAGCTGTGCTCCTGGCTACCTGGGCAGCTCTGAGACACAGAAATTGTCAAGGGCAGAGGTTTTAGTATCCAAACAGTCAGATTGTTTTGTGGATATTCCCCCTTCCATTAGCAAGGGTCCATCATTTCTGTGACAGCTTCACCAACCAACCAGAGGACAAAATCCATTTAGTTTTTGGGGCTTTTTTTCGGTGTGTGTTGCTGTTAGAGAATTTGGCCAATGGGAGGAATAAACCAGCTTTCTGCTGGCTGTCAGTGAAAAATTCACAAGCACTTCTGAGAGTTTCTGGTATAGTTCACAGGAAGAGTGAGGTCTTGGCTTGGTTTGGCTGTTTCTGTTAATGGCTGGAGTGTAACGGGTGGTTAGGCTGGTGTGGGTTGCTTTTCCTTTAGCTGATCTGGGTTGTTTTCTTATTTTCTTCCTTTTTTCCTTTGGTGTTCCATTCAGGCATGGCATTTTTGCAGGCATTAAGAGAGGAAAAGCTACGGAGAGAAGTCTTCCCTCTCTGGGAGAGCTCTGCACTTCCACAGAAACAAGTGTTTTGTAGTTGGGGATCTGTGCTTGGAGGTGGGACTCATGCTCTGCATTGCCAATTAAGCTGGGCAGCGCTCGGTCAAATGGGATCTTTCCTCTGGCTCTATTCTGCAAAGGGACATTTTCCCTGTCTGATTGCAACAGGGACACGGCACCAACCTCCCCTGTGCCTCTGGGCGGTTGAGCTGGGCTTACCTTTGTCTGCTTGATTCTGTGACCCACAGGTGGAAAACGGGGGAGTGGGGACCCTGCTCAGCTACCTGTGGTGGGGGCACCCAGAGTCGCTCCGTTTACTGCGTGGCGTTTGATGGTCAGAGCTCCCAGGGGGTGGTGGATAACACCGAGTGCATGGCCTTCGCCCAGCAGCCTCACAGCAGCCAGCCCTGCAACGTCAGACCATGCGCCACCTGGAGCACCGGGCCATGGTCGGAGGTGAGCTGGTGTCTGGGGGGCAACTGCTACTTGGTACATACCGAAGGAGGATCTGCCAAATCTCCAGGATAAAGAGTCACACTCCTTTTCTAGGGCTGCAGAAGGTGTGTGTCCTTGGATGGGTGATGTGCAGAAGGTATAGGACCCTGCAGTCCTCCCAATAAGTTCTCCATCTAGCTAGCAGCTATGCCCTCCTATAAACACGTCCTGTTCCTCCAAACCATAGAATCATAGAATGGTTTGGGTTGGAAGGGACCTCAAAGATCATCTAGTTCCAACCCCCCTGCCATGGACAGGGACACCTCCCACTAGAGCAGGTTGCTCAAGGCCACATCCAGCCTGGCCTTGAACACTTCCAGGGATGGGGCATCCACAACTTCCCTGGGCAACCTGTTCCAGTGTCTCACCACCCTCATAGTAAAAAATTTCTTTCTGATATCTAATCTGAATCTTTTTTCTTCCAATTTAAAACCGTTTCCCCTTGTCCTATTATTTCCCTTTCTGGCAAAGAGTCCCTCCCCAGCTCTTCTATAGGCACCCTTCAGATATTGAAAGGCTGCTATAAGGTCTCCCCAGAGCCTTCTCTTCTCCAGGCTGAACAATCCCAGCTCCCTCAGCCTGTCCATGTGTGCCCCTGGTTCCTCTCATTGTGTCCCCCCTCTTCTCTGCTTCCTCAGTCCTTTCCCCACTCCTGTATTTTTATCAGCAGGCCTAAGAGCTGCTGTCCATCAGCTGGTGATGTGCAGCAACACTCCTTCCTCCGTAGAACAGGAGCTCTGGCTCCTGCCTGCGCTGCTCATTTCCATGCATATTGCTGCCTCAGCATTCCTCGACCCAGACAGCAGTGCTGCAATCACCACAGTTGGTGAGCAACACGCTCCTGAAGCACTGGTGACCTGCTGTTTGCTGTGTGTCAGTGCACAGCTCCTCCCAGCGCAGCTGCCTGGTGCATTTTTGATGCCTCTGTGCATTTGCATCTCCAGGAGAGGAAACCACTCGTATGTGCTCAGGGCTGCCAGCCAGGCATTTAGAAGGCATTTTGCATTCTAAGAGCTTAGACAGTAAAGGTAGTCTCTAAAGGTAGTGTTGCAGTCCCTAAAGCACAAGTGAATTTTCCTCTTTTAAAATAAGTACATGCATGCTTGCAACATTTGACTTAGGATTTTGTGGTGGTACTTTGGGTGGTACAGCAGCATATAAAATGCAGCTTTGAGACATGATAACCTTGACTGTAAAGTCCTATTTTATTTTATTTTTAAAAATTTTTTCTCTTGTGAGATGTGAGGTGTGAATACAAAGACAATTGGGGTCTGGAGCATCTCCCTTACAAGGAGAGGCTGAGGGACATGGGTCTTTTTAGTCTAGAGAAGAGAAATCTGTGGGGGGATCTGATCGATGCTTATAAATACTTAAAGGGTGGGTGTCAAGAGGATGGGGCCAGTCTTTTTTCAGTGGTGCCCAGGGATAGGACAAGAGGATGTGGGCACAAACTTGAATATAAGAAGTTCCACCTAAACATGAAGAGGAACTTCTTTCCTGTGAGGGTGGCAGAGCCCTGGAATAGGCTGCCCAGGGAGGTGGTGGAGTCTCCTTCACTGGAGACATTCAAAACCCACCTGGACACGTTATTGTGCAACCTGCTCTAGGTGGACCTGCTTTGGCAGGGGAGTTGGACTAGGTGATCTCCAGAGGTCCCTTCCAACCTCATGTGATTCTGTGACTTCAGGGCTGTGGAGCAAGAGCACTGTTTGGGGAAAGCACCAAGTATCGTGTTCTTACAAGCTTGTTCCTAAGCGATTTATTCTGGGGTTCTCAAAAGCATCCGTGTTTCGTGTACTCTCACAGATACAAAGTCACTCTAGTCGATGAGTGGCTGAAACTCATCTGGGAAGCTCATCTAAAGTAATTCATACTGGCCCCAGGTTAATGCCCTCTGTAAGAGGCCATGCTAATTCACGGAGAAGTAGGCTGGATTCCAGGAAGCACTGCTGTAAATTTAAAGAGGGCATTGAAAAGGTTACAAACCATTTGCGAGTATAGAAGTTGTGTCACAGCTCCACGCTGTAAAAATGGAGCACAAGGTCTTCAGGCAGGAGACACAAGCAACACAAGAACATAATCTTTTTATCTTCCCTTGAATTCTTTACCATGAGCTGATTTTAATCAGTAGTAGATAACAAGAGATTTCAGGTATTTCCTGCCATTTATTGTTCTCAATGTATTCTGCAGTATGGATATTTTTCCAAAATCATTCTCCATGTCCTCTTTGGTAGAGATCAAGGGAAATGATATGACTAGGCTGAAATCACTCAATGAACTCCAGATCTCCCAGGACTTATCCACCATGCCTTAATGTCTCTTCTACGGCATAAACTACCCTGCCAACTCCCATCCCAGAAGATGATTTGAATGATGGTTCGTGAGTTTAGGCAATCTCAAAATGGTGCTCTCTGCCCTGATGTTCAGGAGCACAGCCTGGAAATGCAAGTGGAAACCAGGTGCTTCCTTGTGATTGTTGCCCCCTTTTCTGCAGTGCTCGGCCAGCTGTGGGGAAGGGGTCCAGACCCGGACCGTCACCTGCAGAACACAGCAGGGCTCTCAGGCTCAGGACTTCGCTTGCCTCATGGAGCCAAAGCCATCGGCCACCCAGCCCTGCCTTAAGGAGAACTGCATCCAGGAAATCGGCTGGCACGTTGGAGACTGGGGCCTGGTGAGCATCGCACTTTCATAGTTTGGAAATAATTGATTATATCGCTGTGCTCCTCACAAACAAGCTTTGATCTGTGCAGTCTGCACCTTGGCCGAGGCTGGGAGCATGTACTGCTTCATTACCAGTCCCCTGGCGCACAGTTGCGTTGTAACTGGCACCAGTAATGCTCCAGTTAATCTGCTGCCTGCTTTGTATGCAGCTGCTGCAAAAATAAAGCCTTCTGAGGGGGGGATTATAGTTTCAGTGACAGTGGCAAAAAGCAGCCAATAAGCTGAAACAATCCACTCTTGCTGCTTATTCCCGATTCTTTGCTCCATCGCTGTGAGCAGCAGAACAGCTCTCTCACTGGTATGCCTTAGAGCCCCAGGCTTCAGGAGTGGTCATAGTGTTTGGTGATACGGTTTAAAGTACATTTTTGTAATTGTTCAAATAGGCTGCGCCTCAGCTGGATTAGTCTTGTCTTTGTGGAGGGAGCCAGACTCTGTTCAGCCCAGGAAAAGCACTGGGGGGAAGAGATAGGAGTAGATCCAATGTATCAGGTGACTTCTACACACCTTTTTCCTTTTGTGCTAGCCAGAGCAGCAGCTTCTGAGTTAAAACTTGTTACATCTGGTTCTTCATGAGATGCAGGCCAATTTTTATTAAAATCTAAAATTAAAATGTGACTAAAAAAGTCACATACCTAATCTGGTCTTTCCTGGCCCATGGCTTTCCAATATCAGAAGAGCTCCTACCGGCACCTGAATTGGAGAGAGGAGTACTCTCCCAGTGTTTGTAGAGCTTGCCATGAGTAGATGGGTTATGCAGATACCTCATCCTCTCCTGCACCTGAATCGGAGAGAGAAGTGTTTGTAGGGCTTGCCATGAGCAGATGGGTTATGCAGATACCTCATCCTCTCCCCTCCACTGAGTGGCTGCTCATTGCTCCCTCTTCACCCACAGCCTCCAGTGAGAGAAGCTCCAGTTAGCTCCTTACGAGAAAGCCACCGGTTTGCTTTCCCATTGTAAACTGTTGTTCTTGAATGGATAGTTCAAAACTGACTCTCTCACAGCTGGTGGACCCCTGTAGTATTGAGATGCCTTCAGACCAGGCTGAAATGACTCACTCCAGCTGCTTATTGCAGCTTCCACACCACCATGGGTAGCAGCAGCTCATCTGGATGTTACAGGCTGAGCGTGGCTGGGAGCCTAATGCTCCAGGGCTGGGTGTCACATTTGGTACGATGGTTTGAAGTGCGGTTCTGTAATTGTTCAGCTGAATCCAGCTGAAGTGTTGTTTGCCTTGTCTTGGTGGAGGAAGCTGTGCTCAGCCTGTGGCTAATCGTGCAGCTGTTCCACACTTCTGGCCTGTGGGGTTCCTGCCTTCGGCCTCTGCTGCCTCCTCACTTGCCTTGTCTCTGTGCCCAAGTGTTCCAAGAGCTGCAATTCAGGCATCCGGACACGCCAGGTCATCTGCGCTGACGGGGACTCCAAATTCTACAGTCCTGAGACATGCAAAGCCATCCAGCCACAGAAACCTGCCACCCTGGGTAGCTGCAACACACAGCCCTGCTACCTGCCACAGCGTGAGTGGTATTGCTGCACGCCCGGCTTCACCTAAGGTGTTTTTGCTTAGGAGTAGAAATTCCCAGCTCTGCACCAGCTTATGTTCTCCGCTTCTTGCCTGCCTGTCCCCATCCTGTGCCTTTATGTTTTGTGCACGTAACCGTGGCATCTTCAGAGTCCCAGTACCTGTGCTATTTGAAGTGTTTGTAACAGGTTTGGGAGCAACACTGCTGTGTGTCCATTCTGAGTTCGGTGTTCTGTGATGGCTCTGTCCCGGTGGGTGCTGCAGACTGACCCCAGGACTCCCAGTCGAGAAGGATGGCAACCTGGGCAGGCTCAGTAGCTAAAAACTATAGCCAACTCTCATCCCTCTGCAGACCAGCTATAAACGAGGCACAACTGCTTGGAAGGTTTTGCTTGCTGCTTGTGTGTAGTCTTCATGCCAGAGCTGAAACGCTGACTTTTGTCTGCCTGCCCATCGCAGGTCACTGCCCTGACAATCCAGTCGAATCCAATTGCTGCTCAGCAGCTGTTCCAGGAGAAGAGAAACATTTTCATCAGCATTATTCTTGTGTTGACTACTGGATGCATTTGCAATTATTAGAACATAGGGCTGGACTAACTGCACTTATTTTGTGTACATTTCTCTTTGCAGAGGTCCCCAGTATGCAGGACACTATGGGATACGATGTCACTCGCCAGTCCTCGCTGACGCGTTACAACCCAAACAGCCCTGCCACAGGTTTGGAAGAATTTTGTTAGTTTGGGTTTTTGATTATGGTGCACTTGAAATAGGGTGTAGTAGGGGGAGGTTTCCTCCTTTTCTTCATTTCTTCCATTCATTTCATGGGCTTCTAGAAATTCATGGAGCCAGAGACAAGGTATAGATTCTTTTACGCTGATAGTGAGCAGTATCTGAATCTGTCTGTGTAGAACAGACTGTACAGTATATAGATCCCACATTTTGGCAGCATGACTTAAGTGCTGGTTGAGAGAAATACTGCCCAAAGCAGGTCATAGGAAGAAGAAAGGATCCCGTGAAGGGACCACAGAAATGTGGCAGGTGGTTTCTCATGGGACAGCAGGAAAAATGGTTAGAGCAGTGAGCAAAAGAACCTCAGAACAACCAAATCCAGGAGACACATATTCATGTGAAATTCTGATACAGAAAAGCCTGCCCTGTAGCCCTGGGCAGGTGAAAGAGAACAGAGATGAGGAAAACTGACCAGATTTTGATGCTCACTTGTATGCTTTAAGGAGTTCTCTCCCCAGATTCTGGTGATGAAAGGATGCTCCCTGGGAGCTCCACAATCCATAGTACCTCTGGGAATCACCACATCCCATCCCCCAAGGACCACGGCATCAACTTGTTGCCTGTTCGCTGGGAACCCCAGTCACGCTCCCCGGGTTCCCATCAGCTCAGCTTCTCTCAGGACCACACAGCAGGGGCTGGCTCTCGGGACTGTCATCGGAGCCCACATGGCTGCTGTCCAGATGGGCACACTCCGGCTTCAGGCCCCTTGGGGAGAGGTTGCCCCTTCGGCACCTGTCACCGAAGCAGGTAGGTGCAAGTAGATGGGCCTGAGCGGGGAGGCATTGCCTTTCCTGGGGGCTTACTGAAATTTACAGCCTGTGCCTGTTGAGCCGTGCAGGTCAGATATTGCTGCAAGCCTTCTGCCTTCTTCCTGTAGGTATGGATGCTGTCCTGATGGAGTATCAGCTGCCCAGGGTCCAAACAACATGGGGTATTGCTGCAACCCTTCTGCCTTCTTCTGTAGGTATGGATGCTGTCCTGATGGAATATCAGCTGCCCAGGGTCCAAACAACATGGGATGCCCACAATATTACCGTGATGTTCAAGTGAGCAGAAATCAGCCCACTGCAGCTGCTCCAACGGTAAGTATAAAACTTCTTTGCCTTTTAGGAGTCTATCAGATAGGAAGATGTGGATTTGACCCTGGTGGCTCAGATTGTGGGTTTCTGTTGTGCTTGATCTGTGTCAGTAAGGCTGGAGAACCAATACTCCAGGCATGGCATGGAGCCACTTCGCTCCTCTTCAGCCTGGGGCACCCACTGGTGATCCTCTGTAAGCAGGGGACAGAGGGTGGTTGGGAGATGTAAAAGACCATCCTGTGTAGAACTGATTGAATAATCCTGAGTAATCAAATTTGTGTCAGTCAGAAACTTGCCATCTAATTTCTAGGAGGAAAAAAGATGGAAAAACACAGCCACCATTAGTTGCCTTTGTTTTGTCAACTCTGCAGATTAGTTGAGGGCAAAGTAGTCAGGGAAGTGATTCCTCCCATAGCTTAGGGTGCTTGGTGGGACCAGCTGAAAAAAAAACAGACCTGCCCCTGTGCTGGTTAGGTCTGTCTTGCAGAGAAGCACAGCCCTGGCTCCGTGGCTGACAGCCAAGTCTCCCACCCCTTCCCAGCATGAAAGCCTCTCGGAGGCAAACAGAAAAATAGTGGTTCCTCTAAGAGCTGGCCTTCTGCAGCCAACAGCTTGGACACGGTGCCTTGCATGTGCTACTGTCCTCATTGTACGCGTGATAACTATTGGCTTTCAATCCCTGTCTCTAAGGCAAGCCAAGCCTTGTCCCAGCAGCACCCCTCGGGCGAGTGCCGCAGCTCCACGTACGGCTGCTGTTTTGACAATGTGGCTTCAGCTTCGGGTCCTCAAGGGGAAGGATGTCTCAATAGGCCCAACTACCGTAAGTGATGCTTTGGCTTCTTGGTTTAGAAACAGAGGAAGGGTCCTACAGAATCCAGTAGCGCACGGAAGCTTCCTGTGCAGATGCTCTGCTCTATGTAAAATGTAGTAAATTATCTTTTTGAAAAGAAATTCTGCCTGGTGGCTGGGGCAGGTGAAGGTGGGAGGGAGGGTAGGAAAGCAGCCAGATGGTTTGGCTCTGTCAGCTACCACAGAAATTCTTGTTGTCCTCTGCTGATAGTTGGACAAAAGTGTATTTGTGTGACCTCTGTCAGACTGTAGGACTTCTGGGGAGCTGTTTTCCCCTGGGAAGGCACCCTGATGGAGCCTGGAGTGCTCCAAATTAGTTACCTGGATTTAGGAAAAGTAGGGCCTCTCTGAGGACTCAGGGTGTTGCTTAGCCTTCAGACAGCCCATGGACAGAGATGGAGAGAGCTACAGATAAGGATGGAGGTGTTGCTCAGGGCTGCATGGACCCTTTCAGCCAGCAGAGTTCAATACAGTGCCTGCTGGACTATGAGGGCTCTAGAGCTGCTGGACAAAAGCATCTCTGCTCCTTTTGTCCCCAGCTGTATCCTCTGCTGGCACATTGCTGCTGCATTGCCTTGCCCTTTTGCCCCAGCACAAAGATTGCTTGGTGACCAGCCCAGTGGGGCTGCCTTGGAGAAGGGGAAAGCTCTCTGGATCCTCTCTGCTCAACCACAGCTTGGCAAAGGGTCCTTAGACCCCTCCATCCTGTGTTTGTGGCTGTGGTACTGGTGACTCAGAGCACAGGGCTAGGTTCGTAGACACGTTGGGCCGTGCTCCTCTTTATATCAGGGTGTGGAGGGCTACTCTGTAACGCATGAGGCTTCACGACTGGACCTAATCTGCTTGCTTTGTGGGCTGGAAATGTGCAAAGAGCAGCCATGTACCCCTTGCAGAAGAGGAAGCCCCAAAGCCAACCTTGCTGCAGCGCAGTTCCCCGAGAAAGGCTGTAAAGTATCCATCTAGCATCTAGAATCAGAAATGTCTCTGAGGTTGGTTCTCCTTCCACCAGTGGCAAAACAGAGATGGGTGCATAACTCAGGTGTCCCACTTTCCCAGCTCTGCCACACGAGGCACATTAGATCATCTAAGCAGGTGGCTTGAAGCACCTGGACCTTTGTGCTTCGCAACCCTCACATCTCCCTCTTCTCTGCTCTTTTTGGTAGCGTACCCTGTCATGTGCCTGCTGCCCAGTGCCCATGGCCCCTGCGCCAACTGGACCACTCGCTGGTACTTTGTGCCTGTGGTTGGCAAGTGCAACCGATTTTGGTACGGCGGCTGTCACGGCAATAAAAACAGCTTTGCCTCGGAGGAGGAGTGCATGAGAGCCTGCCACAACTCTGGGGGGGTCAGCCCTCTGGAGCACCAGCCGTCTTCTCTCACTGGAGCCCTGCAGCACCAGCATACTGGCTCCCGCTCTCCAACGGGGGATGCTCGGGGTCAGCAACAGCCCCCACTGAGAGAGCCTGCAAGTCACAGCCAAGAAGGAAGAGCCTACGGGGCTTCACGCCCCACGCAAGATGGCCACAGAAGGGACAGCTGGAGAAGTGAAGTGCTGGCAAGGGCTGGTGTGATGGAGAGCCAGCGCTGGGGCACCCAGCAAAGCAGATGGGACAGCCTGAGCCAGCTGCACTCGTGGGAAGCAGCGGTACCAGGGCCCTCAGAGAGGCAGAGTGGCAGTGGCCAGCAGTGGCATAAGGCTTTTGGAGCAGATGTTTCCATGACAGAAGGACTTGGGCACCAGGCGTCTGCAGACTCATTCCCAGCACGAGCTTTGCACAGGTGATGATTTTTTATTTTTTTTTTTCCCTGTTCTGCCAGCTCACTGTGAAGCATCAGTGTGTCTTCCTCTGGAGTGAAAGTGTTGCCTCAGCTGGGCTCAGCTAGCTGGGAATGCCATGCAAGGGGTGGGCTACATGTGTGGTCCTTTGGTAAATCAAGTTACTCAGGCCCTGGAGTTACCTGCTGTCTCTTTCCTCGCACTCTCCTTCCTCTCTGACAGCACTGGAAGTATGGTGTGTGGAAAAAACTGCAGAATGCTGTGATCTTTGTCTGGGAGGCATTCTTACTCTGTAAATGAGATTCCATAGGTGTTTTTCTTGTTCCAACCAATAAATTAAGCTGACTTCAGAGCCTTTATCTGAGCAGCAGTGGGTTGTTTTAGGAAGAAGTTTTAAGATGCAGAGATTGGGTCAGGATCCAGACCATGTTTCCCTAAAAATCAGGAGTGCGTAGAGCTAGATCTAAATGTGTCTGCTCTGGATCTGTGTCTGTCTGCTGAGCAGAACCTAGCTCCTTCAGAAGAGAGGGGCTGTGGGACTCTCTTCCTGGAGATATTGTAGCAGTCTGTCCAGAGCAGCCTTTGCCATGCAGGAGAGGGCTCCCCACATGTTGCTTGGTGCATCTGCTCAGAGCTTAATGGGCAGTTGGTCCTGCTTTGCCCTGTGGTTGTGACTTACCCAGAGTCACATTAGAGGACCCAGAGGAGAGCAGGGCAGCAGCGGTGCCAATTAAATCGCTTTCTCTTTCAGAGCCGTCCTGGAGGAAGCCAAGCCCTCTCTTGTGACAGCAGTCGTGGGACAAAACATCCAGCTGGTCTGTAAGTCAGCCATGTCCCCCTTCTCCAGGGTGGAGTGGATGAAGGACAGCCGACCGGTCTCCTCTGACAGGTGAGCTCAGCTCCCTTTGCACAGAGCAGATGGGCTCCTTGCTGGGCAGAGTGACAAATACGCTTGCCCACTTTCTTTGTTGTCTTACTGTTAGCATTCTTTAAAAAAAAAAAGAAGAAAAGAAGGGATGAATAAATAGACAAGACTATGTATTGACCTAAGAGCGTGAACTGTTCACCTGCTCTGTGCACAACAGAGACACACTCTGCAATAGCACTGAGGCACTGGCTGGTGTTACAAGGCAGAACAGTGTCTGTCCCATAACAAGGCACTGGTGGGAGCTGACATGTGGGTAGTGATGCAGAAAAATGTTGTCTCTGTTGGATTCATCTTGGGGCAGCAGTAAGTCAGTAGTCCAGGGTAAAGCTTGTAGCCAAATAACTGAGAGTTCCTCTGACTGGAAGTTTCTGGCACTCCCATCTAAGATACAATTTTTTAAAAAAACCTGCTTTTAAAGCCAGTTTTTTCCTGGGAAATCTGTTTCCAGCAACAGTTTGGAGCCAGACAGTCACTTTGTGTTATGAAAATCACAGTTAAGAAAAGCCCAGTTCTGCTTTTCTGTCTGCAGATGACTGCTGGGGCTCGGGCTCCTGCCTGGAAGGGCAGTTTGCCTCCTCGTGGGAGAGGGTTGCTGAAAGCAGTTCCCTGTTTCCCCATCTCAGTTTCCTCTCTGTTCCTGACCTCCTTTTTGTCACAGTTATTTCCCCTGCCTGTGACCCCTCTGTGGTCAACAGGGTTTTGTTGTTTTCTAAGCCGGGGAGGGTACTCCATGGCGATGGTTTATGCGACATCAGCACAAAGGGCCACTCTGCCTTGGCCAGTTGGTGTCCGTGGCCAGACAGAGGCAGTTAGTCCTTGTTCCTGTTGCAGGCACGCCTACCAGTCCGACAGCTCCTTAGTGATCAGCCACGTCAAGCCGGAGGACGCTGGGACTTACACGTGCCTCATTCCTGATGGGAGGACAGAGAGCCGGCAGATTCAGTTGGAGATCATAGGTGACTTATCTTCCACTGAAGACCAAAGAGGTAGCTCAGTGCTCCTCGTTAAATAGTTATTGACAACAGGAGTGATAAATCCAGCTGCAGGAGCAAACTTCCTCCGCTGCCATACTGTGCTAGCAGCGTTGCCTTCCCTCCATGGCAGTGGTGTCCCAAGAGCTAGTCAAAGCAGTGGGTCTCCTCTGCTGTAGGGGTGCCAAGAGGGAGTGTGGAGGCAGCAGGGCTTCTTTTGGTGTTGCTTTGTGTTAAAGCACTCCCTTGCAGTGCCACCCCATAACCAGGGTGGTGGCTTGCCCGTGACCTGCCCCACTTCCAGCACAGTGAGCATGTTTTCCTCCCTGGGAGCCTTCTGATCCTAGAAAGGAAGCTCCAGAAGAGGGATTTCTGCTGTTTCCTGGGCCCTCTGTCTCGCACTATGATGTGACCAGTCTGCCATAGCAGTCTGTGCTGGTGCATTTATGTTTTGTGTTTTGCCCAAACAGCCCCTGTCAGGTAACAAACGGTTCCCTGCTCTGAAAAATGTGCCTTATTTAAGAAACAAAACCAAAAAATTATGAAAGACTATTCTCAAAAGGTTGGGCCGGCGAGGCACCCTGTAGCCTTTAATCTCTTCCGTGTACTTTGTCACAGCAGTGGCACATGGGGCAGAAGGCACTGTGGCCTAAGGGATGCTGCAACATGTTTGCTGACAGAGGAGGGAAAGGAGTCTGAAATTGCTTGCCTGCAGGTCCGTGGCTCTCATTAGTCGACAGCGCAGGCTCACTGCACGAGTCAGCCAGAAAACAGATGGCCCCAGGCCTCTTTGGCTCCAGTTCAGCAAGCTCTCCCAAGCTCACAGAAACCCTGCGCAAGAGGTCACAGTAAGAAGGGTCCTTTTATTCACATATGGCATTTCATTTTGAATAGAGCACCAGGGCGCTGCTCTGGCAGAGGGTGAGAGAGGTCGGGTCCTTCACAAGGAGAATCAGCAGCAGCGAGAGCTTTCCCCGGGCAGGAGGGTTGCACCCGCAGCCGGTTCCTCCACGCATCAGCAGCTCACGTACAGGTAAGTTCATGTACAGCAACAGTTTGTCCACCGTGCCCAGCTGATGAACCATATGGTGTCTCTTCATGTAGAAAAAGCTGAAGATTGGGAAAGTCCCGGGTCAGCTGTTCTGGGGCACGGTTGGGAAGCGAGCAGTACTGAACTGCTGACAGCAGGAAGGGGAGAAGATCCCAGTCACAAGCCCTCTTCTGTCCACCCCGAGGGTCTCTTGAAAGAAGCGTATTCTGAGCAAAGACATGCAGGGAGGCTGACAGCAAAGGAGCTAGGTTCAAAGGAAAGTAGAAATATCGGGGACAGCATCCTTAGCTGTTCAAGGTAGCGTAGCCAGAAAGAAAAACCTGCTCTGGAAAAAAGCAGAGCAAATAGGAACTGCTTAGCTAGCACAAAACAGACATATGTATCATAAAAAAAGCTCCAACTACTTAATCCCCCACCCATTTATGTTAAATATTTTTGAACAAACCAGTTTGACTCAGAACTATCTCCTCACCTACCGAGTGGCATATTTTGTAGCTTCTTGCATGTTTCTTTGGTGTTTCTAGGCCCCACAGAAATAAAAAGGTACAAATGATTTTTGCCTTAAATGCAGCATGTTTGGGTTCCAGATTAAATGGGACCGTGATCCGATCCTCCCCTTCTTTTGAGTTTACAACCTAAAACCCAGCCAATTTGCTGAACTCCCCAGCAGCCTCCTTAACTGCTTCTGCCTAAAAGCAGCAAGCAGTGATTCACCGAATTAAGAGCATTGAATTAAGGCTCTTTGGTTTTGTTTTTTGAGATCAAGAATTCAGGTCAGAGAAGCCGGGGGGGGGGGGGGGGGGGGGGGGGTGATGGTTGGAGACTGCGTTGGGCAGAGTGATCACAAATGATAGAGTTTGCAGTGCTTGGAGGAGGGAAGCCAGCAGAACCACCACCTTGGACCTCTGGAGGGCAGACTTTGGCCTGCTCAGGAGCCTGGCTGCCAAAGTCCCTCGGGAGGCAGTCGAGATGATGTTTTATTTGATGCTGGGAACATCACGGTTTAGTTCCCTGCTAAAATGGTGTTTAGCTGTAGTGATAAGAGAGCAAAGAGATGTGGTGGGAGAGCCTGACCTCTCTGCTGCAGGGAGTGGATGGCCGGCTCCTGGGTCAGGGGATTGCAATGGGCTCTTCACACCCCAAAAAAATATCTGCTCATTTTTGTGTGCCAGATAAGCACCTTGGGGGGAAACTGGCTTGGTGCCCTGCTCGGGACTTCGTACCATTTGCCATGTGCTGATGTGGTTGGCACTTCCTAGGCTGTTATCCAGAGGGATGCTATAAGACACAGAAAGGGTTAAGCTGGCTGGCAGGAGCGCGGCGCCAAGCTGTGCTGAGCTGGAGCAGGATTTGATGGAGGCTGCTCTTTTCTGAGTGTTGTGAGCCAGTGTTGGTAACGGCAGGTAGCAGAGCTCTGAGGGGAGGTAAAAAATAAGGCTGATAATTAAAGAAACGTTGTGGTGAAGATCGAATGCTGGACGAGGAAGTTTCTGCATCTTTTGCTGTGCTTGTGGACTTTGCAGGTTGCGGATGGATAAGAGTGAGCCCTCAGTAGTGGAGGCCAACGTCGGGGAGAGGGTCAGACTGCCCTGCACAGCAGAAGCATCGCCATCTCTCACCATCGAGTGGCAGAAAGATGGGCAGCCCCTCTCCTCTCCCAGGTGAGCTCCCAGGTGGCTCCCACAGGCAGGTCCACATGGAGGAGAGCCTCCTCCTTGCCTTCCCTAAGGGAATGGAGCTGCTGGCCGTGAAGCTAGGGCCCATCCTGCTTTGTGCTGGCCAGCTTCTTCTGTTGGGGCCAGACGGTACCGCCTGACTGCCCTGGCCTCGCTCACAGATCACAGTCTGAACGCTGAACCCTTGAGTGAACAGCTGTGATACAGGGTCTGCAAGTGAGACTTGCTTATCTGCAAGATTAGCAGAAAGAGAACACAAATTTGCCAAAACCCCACTGGTCTGTGAGCCAGGGCAGAGGTTCACAGCAGAGAGAGATCAGGGTGCCTGCAGTGAACTTCCACAGCTACTCGGGTTGCTCTCCTGCAGCTCCCCTCACCCTCTGCTCCCAGAAACCTGCTCTAGCAGTGAGCTTTTCCAGAGTCTAAGGCACTACTGCTGGGATTTGAGGACTGAGGGTTGCATTTACAGGTTGAACCAACCTGCTGGTGCTAAACCTTTGCTCGTTGTTACTACAAAGTTGTGCCACGAGGCTCGGCTTCAGCTCTGGTGGCTGGAGTCCCATCCTGACCCACGCACAGGCTGAGGGGCTTTGTGGTTCTGTTCCCCAGACACAGGCAGCAGTCAGACGGGGCCCTGGTCATCAGCCGGGTCAGCTCTGAAGATGTTGGCTTCTTCACCTGCATTGCCTCGAATGGACGCGACCGGGACCAGCGCCAGGTCCTGTTCCGACCTCTAGGTAGTGGATGGATGGATGGATGGAGGTGTGCATGGTGTGTCTGTGCACACACGTTTGTGCGTGCATAAGCGGGGAGGGCTGGGCAGTGTGGGTGTCTTGTCTGGCCATGCCTCTTGGCTTCACACCTGGTGTTCAACAGGCAGTTTGAGGGCAAGGGAAGAGCAAGTTTTTTTACCCCATGGCCAAATTGGGTATAGACACACAAAAGTGTGTGTCTACAGATCGTGGTGCTGCAGGCAGCTGGAAGAGGGACTAATAGCACAGTAAGAGTGAGTCTCCGGGCCTTGTTTCTGGGACACTGGTGTGGAATTGGGTATAGGAGCAAGAGGAACTAAGGAGATGGTTCTTCTGCGTATGTGATGTGCTTGTGTCCAGCTGGAGTAAAAAGCTCTTTGAGGCCTCTGCTTTTTGTCCTTGCTTGGGCCAAAGCCCTTAGTAAATCCACATTCCCCATAGCAACACCATCATAGCTCTAACCTTGCTGTTTCAAGGCCCAGGGGCTCAAAGCTCATCACAGCGTATATTGGAATGTTCCTGTGAGGGAATGCTCCTGCTGCCGTGGCGTTGGCTTCCTGCTAGTGATGATTTCCCTTCTGCTCTAGGAGAGTTGAGGATCACTGGTCTTCTGCCAAGCATCACGGTACCCGAGGGAGGGACTGCTCAGCTTCACTGCACTGTGACTGGAAGCAACGTGAATATAAGGTGGTCAAGGTGAGCAAAAATGAGACAGAAGTTCCCTTTCCTTCTCCTCCCAAACCTCATCACCTGTCCTCCAAATAAGAACACAGGATGACTGCCAGGTAAGGGGGAGACCAATGGTTCTCAGCCCCAGCTAGCATCATGTACCCTTTCCTAAACAACCTGGCTATTACCCAAAATTCCTGGGCAAGATCCCTGTGGGGTGTGGGGGTCACCAGGCTCATGTTCCAGCCAAATGAGGAGGAAAGCAGGCGTTAAGCTAAGATTTCATGGGGTTCAAAAGGGCTCCGTGCTGGAAAGCTAGTGACATTACAATAGAAAAACTGAAATGAGTAATCAGAAGACCTTTATTTGGTCTTTATAAAATTCTCTCTGCCTAACCCTACAATAACAGCAACTCTTCTCCCAGCTTCGTCCTGCAGTAGTGCTCTTCCTCTACTGTCAAATGGGAGCAAAGGAGATTTTAGTGTGTTTTAATAATGGTAAAGGAGAAGCTGTGTCCTCTTCTGTTGGTGGTTTACAGGGAAACTCTGAATCTGTGCAAGTGTTTGGTGGGGTTGTTTCCCTCTATTTGAAAATAGTCAGTTCTGTTTTGGAGCCTTCTTGAAAAGGATCCAGAGAGATGGATTGGTTATTGTTTAAATCTCTCTACTCCAAGGGGCAGGACTGGAGCAGGCCATCTCACAAAGAGAGCTTTTCTTCCGTACATAAGTTTGGTATTTGAATTAACAAAATGATGCAAGTTTCAGAGTCTGAATGAAACCATTTTCAGCGAAACAAATCTCATTTCCTTGGTAACTAGAAGTTCATAATTCAGGCAGTTTTCCTGCTGGGCACAGAGTATTCCAGGAGGAACAGAACAGACACAATCTTGCTGGTATTTCAAACATATTTTTTTTAAAACAAACTTTTAAGGGAGAGGAAAGAGGGCGCATTGCTCACTACCCCATATGTTCCTCAAGCAGTGTGTGCTGCTGTCAATGCCAGCCAAACAAGCACTGCCAGACCACAACCTGGAGAGAGGGAAAGGCACCCTGGATTTTCTCTCAGTTCCTCAAACCTCAAAAATGTGTAATAGGGGAAAGGGCAATGTCTTCACCCAGCACTCACAGCTTGCTGCCTCCCACGCAGGCAGTGGGCTAACGGATGCAGACTCACTCAGGCTCGTGGTACTACCCAGCTGTAGGGCCAGCCCGTGGCAAAAGATTTAGTCTTCCTTCCTGCTGAATTTGTAAAAATTCACCCTTCGTAGAGCGTCGGTTCCCAAAGAGCACAGGGAGCTCCTCTGGGCCTCAGGGGTGGGAAATAGTGATATAAGATGTTTTCCGCCACAGGAACGGAGTCCCCATGCGGGCAGATGGCCACCACATCCACTTGTCCCAGGATGGAAGCCTGATCATCAGCGACGTTCAGGAGGCTGACGAGGGATCCTACACGTGCAGTGCCTACAGCAGCAGCAATTCTGTCAGTGCCAGCACGGAGGTGAAAGTGCTGAGGAGCAAGCCTAGCAGTGAGTACAACCCGTCCTCCTCCCTCTCCTGGTGCAGTCCCTGCCTCTTGGCCCCTATTATAAGTCTGCCCATCGTGTCTCCCATCCACCGCCGACCCCAGGCACTGGGGAGCAGCAGGAGTTTCTGGGTTGTGCTACCCCAGGAGCCCTGCTTTCCCTGGGTGGAAAAGCAGGACAGTGGAAACACACCCCCCTGCCAAGGGCCCTGGGTGCCTAATTAACTTCCTGAGGCCAAAATGCCATAGTTGGTTGATCAAATAGTTGGCTGCAAGGTTCATATTTGGGCTCTGGACACCATCCAGCTCAGGAGATCAGCCCCAGAAACTGTATTCTCCTCCTGGATCTCACCAGAGGTGCTGGTTTCTCTCTCATCCTTGAAGTTGGACTAAATTTAAGACAACCCCCTTATAACTGGCAGGGTAGAGTAAGTGGGAACACCTTGTGTCTTTTGGGAGGGAAAGAAAACCTGAGGGTAAGCCCTGGCAGCGTATTTACAGCTGCTTCACTCTCTGCTTGGCTGCAGCTACGGCAAATCAGGTTGTGGACCTGAGCAGAGAGTGTGTGGACCAGCCGCACCTGGCCAACTGTGACCTGATCCTGCAAGCCCAGCTCTGCAGTAACCAGTACTACTCCAGCTTCTGCTGCGCCAGCTGCGCTCGCCACCAGCCCCAGGCCAGCCCGCCACGGCACCACGGGTGACAGACACCACACGGCAGTACAGGTGACAAGAGCAGAGATCTGAGCTCTGTCCTTTTACTTGTGTGAAACTGTTCTGGGAGCTCTGCCCTGCTGGAAAGCTCGAGAGGGTGAACTGAAGAGGGTGTAGTGGGTGTAACTGTTCCAAGGTGGGAGACCCACCACCCTCAAGTTTATTGCAAACTTCTTTTCCCTCCCCTGTAGGCCTTGCTGTAGCCAATCCATCTCTTCGCTTAAGGGTAGGTGCTGTCATTCACAGAACAGGGTGTCGCTGGGAACGTAAGGATGCTGTGACTTTACAGAGAAGGCAGGTAACCAGCATGAAAGAGGGAGAGACCTATTCTTAATACGAGCACGAGAGAGAAGTACTCTTAAAAACAGCCATCATCTCTGAAGCGTTGGAAGATCAGCCTGAACTGGCTTAACTGAAGGACAAATGAGCAATGAACATTTGTAATCCTGGGGAGCACTTTCCATCTAAATGCAAAGGACTCTGGCCACCAGAAACAGCTTGAAGCACGTAAAATTAGCGTTCGGGTCCTTTGAGGTTACTAGCTCTGGGGATGGAGGTGTAATGTCCCGTTACTGTAGCTTTTTATTTCCAGTAGACCTTAGACAAATTTCTGGTTGGGTCAGCTTGGTTTCTGCTTGACTGTAATGGGCTTTGGAGTGGGACGCAGAAGCAATGCTTCACAGAAAGCTTAAGAGAAAATAAAAATACTGTTAGCCTTTTCTGAATGTTAGGGGTGATTTAGATGAATATACCAAGGCCGTTGCCTGTTCTGAGATGCTGCAGTTTAAATGTCACTCACTTGAGCAAGGCTCAGCAGATAATTTTATTTTTTTCTGAGCCAGAACTGTGCTGTTGAGTTTATTGCAAAGCTGGGCCTGGTGGTAGCGTTGTGCTGAGTTTCAGCTTGGGAAGGCTGAGTATATTTCTAATATACTCATAGAAATGTGTGTAGGGGCATTTGACTTGCCAGAATAAACCTCCCGATGATCTGTTTTACTCAGTTAACCTGGGGAAAGCCTGGCTCTGCAGGTGGCCTGGGCTGACTCCTGCTGCCGTGGGCTGACAAGCCAGGACTTCCAGGTGCAGAGCAGCTACAGCTGAAAAGCATCCTTGGTTTCAAGACTAACGCTGAGTGGCAGCAAGTGTGTGTATGAGGGACTGAAAGGGAAAGTCTCAGGCATTAAGGGGGGGTGTGGGGAGGTGAGATTTAGATAATGATTTGTTAAACCAGGAAAGGTCCTTGGGTGTCTTCAGTATCTCAAAATGGAATTATTTCTGAGCAAAAGCATTTTTTACAGCCACCATGGTATCGTTTTTACCCTAGCATCAGCCCTAACAGTCCCCCTCTTCCTCATTCTGAACTCCCTGGTGAGACTTGGATGGGTTAATCAGATTAATTAGCACCATTACCCATTTATTATTTGCATAGATGTAGCTATAAACTAGTAGACTGGTGTGTAGTGTTGACGGGGTGGTGGAGGATTGGATTTTTTTTTTTTCTTTTTTTTTTCCCCTCTCCTACTTCTGTTACTTTAAGGCTTCTGAGGAAGGCAGTTATTTAGTGCTTACCCCACTCTCCTCTCCTTCAGTCCAGACTCAGTCCTGGGGGCAGCAGGAATACAAACATAGGTGTAAATCCCCAGGCTTGAGAGCCTAAAGCTGGTTTGGATGCTAAATCCAGTAAATCAGTTCAGCTGCACCTAAAAATAAGAATTAGTAGCCTAATGATTGCACTCTCTTCAGCACAGGTGTGGCTTCAGGACTGGACACGCGGCTTTAAGACGTGAACAAACTGAAAAGCTTAGAAGCAATCCAGTAAAGGAGCGAGAGGTGACAGTCACAGCCATTTGGGGGGTGGGTATTTCTGTAGGCTGATAGGTTCTGTTCTGTAGTCTGATTGATAGCTTCTGCTTGCTAGAAGAGACAAATACTTATTTTGCAGCTAAGACCTGTTAATTTGATTGGGGAAAACTTCCTCTGCTGTAATTCACAGGAGGTGTTACACCATAATGAGGTGCCATCATTGGGTATTTAAGAGCAATGAGATGTCCTGAGACCTTCCAGTTGTGTTTGTCCATAATTTTGCATTTAACACCTCAGACTGATAGTCTTTTTTTTTGGTGTGTATGTGTATAGGATATTTTAGTGTATAGTATGACTGACTCTGCCTGTTGAGACCAGAGACCAACCCCAGCCTGTACGTTCCAGCCCTCGTGAAGCCCTCTCAGCTCATGTGTGGCAGTGTAGTCCAGGTTTGTGGCCCTGCCCAGGAGCTCGGTTAGAAGCTGATTGTGGTTCTGTCAGATCCTTTAGTCCCAGAATAAGCAGTCAGAGGTCTATAATAGCCTTTTCTACTCTGTCAGAGGCTCTATTTTTAGAATATTTAGTCCCAGAATAAGCAGCCCGAGGTCTATAATAGCCTTTCCTACTCTGTCAGAGGCTCTATTTTTAGAATACATATTCTGTGTAGTCAGCTTTCCTTTAAGCTGTGTGGTTGGAGAAGACGTGGTGGGGAGTGCTCTTGGGACTCCCCGGGGCTGTACCCTCTGTTCTCATGAGCAGGGTGGGTAATGTCACCGGTGCCTCATTTGGAGTGTTTATTGTGACTCCTTTTAGCTGCATAACTGGGTGGCAGGGATGGTGTTCGAAGGTATTTGCTTCACTGCTTTAAATGTCATCAGTGTAACAGTTAATTAAAGGGTCTTTTTGCATTTCTTCTTTGGCAAGCGGAGCTTTCCCCTCGATGTCGTGCCACTGATGGGCCTGACTGAATGGTTACTTTTTTTGATTTGAGACTCAAGATGTTCATTTTCTTCCCTAAACAATAGATTGTAGGAAGGTGGTATCTCCTCTACTGTTATCTCCAGGCCAGGGGAAGGGTGTAGCTACACTGGGCTATTTTCAGCTGATCTTTGGGCACTGCTGGGAAGGACAGGGACCTAACAGGGAAGAAAGCATATATAGCTTATTCTGTTAAAAACGTCTATAAGTGTTTACTTGCTTTTTGAAAGCTGAAAAAACCATTGGTACCAACTCAAATACCATATGGAGAGTTGGTCATTACTATTCATAGCCTACAGAAAACTGGTAAGAACCTGTAAAGAAAAAAAAACAAACCAGTTTTCTAGATTGTGTCACTGAGACTCGACCTGGAAATGGAAACTGCTGGCGAGCTCAGATGCTGGGGTCACACAAAGGGAGCATTTCTTCCCCTTCAGATTACAGAGTCTGACTTTCCCTTGTCTGGGACTACGTGGTGCACATAAAAATGCAGTAAGAAAAAGACACACTAACAGCACAGGTATCAGTTTACTGGGAGAATAGAAAAGGAGTGAAAATACACTGTCTTCTCATGTGTACTCCTTTTAGTAGCAGGGGAAATAGAACCAAAGAGAGTTTTCCTTTTTGAATGTTAGTATCTTCATATTTGTCTGTATGTAAATATTCATTGCTAGAAATTACAGCGCTGCAAACCCAGAGTCTGATGCTTTCAGTAAAGCCTTCCATTTCAGAGCTCGGGTCACAAGGATATTTGCAAGTCTTAAAGTTGAAGGTAAGCAATAACAAACATGGTGAGCAAAAGGAAGAGGGTTAACACACCAGCACTAAGCTTCCAGGTTGGGCAGCAGGGCTCGGCTACATCCATCTCAGAAAAAATACAGAGAAGGGCAAATGCTGAAAACTGAAGCGGTGGTGGGGGGAGGAGAAGAAAGCTTTCACAGACAGTGCTTCTACCACCAACATTTATTTCTGTTAAAGCAGATTATAAATCATCAGTACAAATATATATAACTTACATTTGCTTGTAAGGCCAAAGTTTAAAAGTAAAGTTAAAATGAGATGGTTTTCACAAGTCACCAGAGGCAGAACCTGGACCAGCTGCAGCCTTAACCACAAGGTTTCACAAAATCAGTGGGGAAAAAAAATAAAAACAAAGTTAAAAAACTCTAAGATCTATTGACAGACAAACATAAAATGGTTTCCCAGGCGGCCCCGGGCTGTAGATATGATTACAGTAAGTTGTCACAGTAGTGTTAGAACCAATAGATTAAGACAAAGAAACTGCAGCAATACATGAAAGGAAAAAAACCCATACTATATATAATAAGTAGCTTGATTCCGATAAAAAAACAGTAAATTTTCCCCATGGGTTTCAAACCATGACAATACTGTTCTTTAATTTTCTTTATTTAAAACTACGATATAATGACTTACTGGTTGTGATTGTTGTTGCAATATGCTACTTACAATGAACAGATACAAGAACAAGCTAGAGCCCCCTTTTCCACCCCACCCCCCGATATTACTTACAATAAGAATCAGAGATAAATCAATCTTATGTACAATTTCTTACATCCAACCCCCTTTTTTTTTTTAACCTTTGGCAAGATTACTTACAACTCATACAGCTTTTAATATCCAACTATTTAAAATATTCTAAATGCATAAAAATAAAGATTTTGGCTTTACTTTATTCTTTACATATAATATTCACTTTGTTACTCAAAATGGAAGCTCAACTTTTTCCACAAACCTAGCTTTTGCTAAGCAGGTGACAATCTCCCCTCCGTACCCACCCCCCACCCCCCGCCATTTTTTTTCCCGGAGGGGGAATGTCCAGGACTCGAAGGGCGTAGGAAGGAC